CATGCAGTACAATGTTAAATATTTCAATTATATTATGAGACCGGCAGACCGATCAGAGGAGCATAAGACGCTGTCTCTGCCGTGGCTCTAACTACCGGCTTAGCAGACGTATCCAGAAAACAACCAATCAATCAATTTTTAGGAAAGCGATTTGGCGATGCTTAAAGGCGGCTCCACACATTCAGCATTCGCCGAGCAGAGAGCTACTTACTCGCCCATCCCTAATATCTCATGTCTTTGGCGAATGCTTCACTTCTTTGAGTATCCAAACCGACCGACACGCGGTGGGTTAGTTAAGCACCAATACTCGCCACTCCGGCAAATAGCAAGCAACCGATTCCCCCCTACTTGAGGTTCGGCACGCCGGATTGCTCGCTACTCGCGAATACCGAACGTGCGGAAGCCGCCTGTAGACTGAGGCTTCCCTCGCAGGGCGCACGCCGGCTGCACTACGCCGTGCGCTGCGACCCGCGAGGAGTGGTTGCGCGTGGCTGTGGGCCAACGGCCGCGGAACGCGCGAGGCGCGCCGACAACTGGGGTGAGACGCCATGGATGGTGAATCAGTCGGCGCCGGTCTAACTAACCTGCTGCACTCCGCCGCCAGTGGCTGGGGCGCCAAAGGCCGGCCTCGCGACGAACAGCGGCGGCGTGCTGGCGACGCTCCGCGCCCCTCTGGGGCCTCCTCAGCAACTCGTTCTTCGGGCGGCGCGGCAGCGACACGCAGGAGCTGGTGGAGGACGACGACGACGAGGAGGAGGCGGCGGCGACGGCGACCGCCAACGGCGGGCAAACAGCTCCCCGGCTGTCCTCACAACACAGCCGACAGCCATGTCTAAGACCCTCGCCCCGCGATGGCTGCCACGCTCCTTGAGAAGTATACGGCGTGTCAGTATTGTAACACAGATTTGCAAAAAGGGAATAACTGATGATTCTGCTCACAGCACTCCTTAATGTGTACCCATTCCTTTGAGACCATTTGTTTCTTGATACGACCTTGTCTAGACGGGAAAGTAATCATTCAATTTACAAGATTACAGGTGTTTTAGAATATGAATCCTGCAAAAGGTACACTGCTTCTTCTATTTACAACGCTTCTTAATGTTGCTCATTCATTTGATTCACTCAGTTCCTTATTCTATGCTTTACTACATGGAAATTATTCAATCATTAGCATGATTACGCGTTTCAATGTATGAATTTACTGAAAGGGAATGCACAGGAATCTACTTAATAGAATATGTCATCCGTTATTGAAACCAGTTGCTTTCTGATTGAACATCATATTTGGAACAAATCGAATGAAATATTTCAATTGAAAAATCATGAGAGACTATCATTAAGCAAATTGTATTTGAACTCACAATTTATTATTAATTATTATACTAGTATAGTTATTTTATATTATTATTATTATTATTTATATTTGTTTTGTTATATAATAAAGAAACTGAGTAATCCAAGATAGTGTATAGAAGAATAATTGAAACTTTGAAATAATTGAAATGAAAATTTTCCTTAGCGCCTATTTCTTGTAGTACTAATGATTCAGGGAATCATTTCACATTCTCATTATACAATGTGAATTGTTAAGCTTTTTGGTATTGATTGAAATTTAAAGAAATTAATTTATGTAAGTGAATGTCATGTTAGTTTATCCCTACTTTGAATTTATCAATAAGATCAGTTAGCAAATTCATGAAATTGATTTGCATTTTATAAGGTTGACTACCATTCATGTATATAAGAAATGAGTTGTAAAGAGTTTTAATTATACCGAGTATCGTAAGCTTCATATGAGTATTATCGTTACATTGAGTTTCATACAGTACTTTTTCTACGACTAACAATAACGGTATATGCTAACATTTTACATCATACTTTCATAGGCCTGTAAATTTATTAGTATGGAACAGAGCAGATGGCCATTGAATTCTCCTTCCAAAGTGGCTGAATTCAAACCTAAGCTATTCTAGTGGCAATGAAAATCCTGACATGGGAACTCGAACCCTTAGGTCCTCCTGATCAGAGGCACTTTCAGTATCATCAGTTTTGCACTTGAGCAACCTCAGTTAATCAACATTTTCGAGGACAAATTCCCATACAAATTAGTAAAAATTTTGAAAGAAGAAAATTTTGACTATTCGTATAGATAACTTCTCTTCTTCTTCTCCAACTTTTAAGAAATATTTCCCATTTAGCTAAATTGTAATATGGGACTTAAGAAAGCATTGCATCTTAAGAAAGGTGTTTTTCTGCTTGCTTAAAAAAAAATAGTTACAAAAAGGAAAAAGCATGTGTGCAGAGAAATTTTTCAAATTATTGTAGATAGGGGAAAAATTTTTTTTTTGCATTTATTGGTTATGTTTATTTTCTTTCTACGAAGTTGTACTTCAAGATAAGAGAAACTGATATATGTAAGGATAACACATTTTTTTTTTTAATTGATAAACACAATATTTAAAACAAGATATATTCAACAGACCATGGTACAAAACAGTACAGAATTGCTGTCAAGTGTACCCTCGGCATCCCTTTTTTACTTATAATGGGGGAGTTTATCTACAGGCCATAATTCTGTTAAAATTAATTCAATAATTATTCAGTATTGTACTATGAATAGACCTTCTCAAGGCCAAGTCAAATTGTCATACAATGAATAAGTAATTGAAATAAGCTTCCAAAGTCAATTATGTAGGGCCAACAATATTGACAAATTAATAGTTGGAAAGGAAATTCAAAATCAACCAAAACAAATGGAATACAAACAACATTTAAAAAAAGTTGTAAAACAAAAATTAAGATCACTTATTGGGACATCAGAAGCTAATACTCAGGTAAAGATCAGAAATGAATGGACACTGTAAAGTAAGGACAAAAGTAGTGCCAAAGACTTGGAAGCCACAAAGATATGAGTACCAGAGAACAACTGTATTCATTACAGTGTTTTTAAATTGCCTGAATTTTACTGCACATAATGTATTTTATTCTAGGTTCTATATTACCTGTACATAAAATAATACAGTATATACATGAAATTCTGCTAAATGTAGCACAATATTTTATCTGAATTAAAAATGGTAAAACACAAATTAGTTAATGTCTTTAATCATCTGCCTCCACTTCTATAACCATTAAGAGTAAATTATTGAATTATTTTATGAAAACTCTTTATGACACGACATTTCTACCGCTCTTTTATCAGTTCATTTCTAAATATCCACACAATTCAATAATCCAGGTTGACCACGCCACATAATATTAATTTCAACATTCTAACTGTTCTTCATACAATTGGCATAAAAAGATGAACAAAATGGAATGACTCTTCATGACAATTCCATTTTCGGTTTCTATTTGCATTACAACTTATTTTAATAGATATTACCTAATAGAACATTGCGATGAAATTAAATGGTAAATTCAAAATTCTACAAAAGAAAAAGTTATTTTTCCGGAATAGAGTAGATATGGACTTTTTAAACAATTTCCTGCAGGTTTGCTGTTAGCCAAGAAAAGAATCATGGATATGCATTTTTGTAAATCGGTGAATGTCCATGTTGTCTTTTGTAAGTGTTTGTGATACTGGACTGAGAATATAAATATATAAACTATAAATTGAACTGCAATTAGACGATTCTCATAAATTGGACTTTTTCAGGTTTGCTGATGTCTGTAAATAAACTAAAAAAGTTTTCTTAAGGTATTCAGATTAAATAATGGTTATATGACCTTGTGGTATCATGATTAGTCTCTACAAAGAACACAGCACATAAGCACTGATATATTTCAAGAAATTCAAAAGTAGGCAAAAATTGAATGTATTTTAGACACTGATCCTGCATTTCAAATGATTTCTACAAATAAAACATAATGTTTGTAGGGTTAATTTAATATTAATATTATAAATGGGTGGAAGCCCTCAAAGAAGATAATATTTTCAAGTGTAAACTGAAATTGCTGGCACAGTAAAACAAAGTTAATCAAGAATGACCCTTTCTTTTTTTTTGATTGACTACATGATAGATTGTAATTAATTTCTTAATTAGTGCTGATTGCTCCTTATTAGGATGGAATATACCAACAATTTATAGGTTTTTAATTGTTATTTTGAGTCACGTCGACCACTGAAGTCATTAACCCATTTAGTTATGAATGCTTATGCTCTGTTGAGCTATATAATTTACCAATATATTAATAAGATTAAATAAAATTTAGTTGACTTCTTCATTTTTGGAATACTGTGGCAAAAATGGGTAATGAATTATAACTTTAAATTGTATTTTACCAATAATTGTGCTTCACTCCTTGAAGTTGATATTAGTATTTCCTAATTCTAAAAAAACTAGAAATTTTTCAATTCCTGAGGTAGTTTAGGAAAAACATATTGGCAACAAAAAATTACTTTTACTTTACAGTATAGCCGATAAAATTCTCCCCCTCCTAGTCCTCCTGGAAAAACTTACCAAAAAGGGGGCTTCACAAACTGTGTGCACTCTCGGAATCTTACATTTATGTTTCAAAACTTTAAAAACCTTGTTTTATTTCTAAATTTTTTACATTAGTAGGCATAAACTTTGGGGCATCCACCAATTGGTTTTCGAAATTCCAAACAGATAACATAGTGGCCTAAGACCCCCCATTTTTTTTTCCAAATTTTTTTTTTTTTTTTTCTTAATAATAAAGGGGGGGGGGGGGGGGAAAATTATTA